GAGTCTTTACGTTCTTCGGGCGTAATTGCCTGTCGACGTTTTGTTCACTTCTGTAGGGCTTCAGTAATCCCGGAGAAACATGCTCGCGTAAGTGCTGTGTATGTTATCCTCAACAGTCAAGTCTTTCATAAGGGTAGCTAACTGATTCTTAAGATCAGTGTTGTCAGTAATTATCTTACTTATGCGCGTTAGCTTAGTAATCTCGGACGCAGATTCGGGGTTGCCACTTGAGCTTGCCTCCTCTTCTGGTTCCAATATAGGATCTTTTTGAGATTTGTCCTTGTCCCCTATAATTGGGGACTCCCTTATAATTGGGAACTTTTCTTTCTGAGTTTCGTCAGAAGAATGGGTTGGGGCGTCTTGAGACGTGTCCCTTGTCTCACTTCTTGGCTTCGTAAATGAAAGCTTTGAAGTTGAGGCAAAGGGAGTAGTCTCCTTAATCGGAGTGGCTACATCCTTATCTGAAGCATTGTCCTGTTGACTATTATTGTCGGAGGCAAGTGCTTCGGCTACAGTGCGGTTAAACGCATCAGCAGCGACAGAGGTTTCTCTCTCCATCTTTTTCTTTTCAGCTATACTACGCTTCTTAGAAGGAGTATTGTCTTTCTTGGTTATAATCTTAACTTATGACTGCTAGCTGATCTCTTAAGGACTAGCTTGGACAATATTTTTTTTGTAGTAGTTAATCTACCTTGACGCTGAAGTAGTCTAAGTAATTAATACCTTTGCTAACTTTAAAATGTGTAAGATTCGGTCTACTAAGGCAATATCAACGCCTTAGAGTATATAAACGCGTATGTAAATTCTAAGTATTGTGAAAATATCAAAGTATATAATCGAAATGAGACTTTTAGTAAAGTTAGGTATGCCTCGTGAAAACAGCAATACTCTCAGGGATTGTGAGGCTGAGACATTGCCTAAATATAATCCTCTCAGTACTGTTTCCGCCGAAGGGATTTTGTTTAGTGTTTCGTTGTCGCTCTATTAGAAACTATGGTATGTTTCGTTGGGGCGAATCCGAGAGACTCATAAAATCCTATCTTTAGAAAAAAAGAAAAGAAAAGAAAAAGGAAAAAAAACTCTTGATGTCCTTAGTTATTGTCTTACCCAACAACTTACCACTTATCAAGAATTACCGACTTAGCCTTCATCAGACTGTCACATCTGGTTGGCTGATCGGAGGATCAACTAGGTAACATTAATAGTCCCTAGAAACCTATATTCGGTTGAGCCATCTCGCTACCGAAGTATTCAGATATAAATAGATTTGGAAAGTAAATATAGTTCTATTAATAGAACTAGACCAAATTTTATGTTTGGTATTTTACTGGGGCCTTTTTATGGCCTCGTCCAAATATTTGATATGTAAAATGGAAAAGGTATTAATTAATAAAACCATTAAAGACCATTAGGAAACTTAAGTTCCTCGTACCGGTTATAATTTACGTACTGCTTAAGAGTACGTTTATAACATAGAGTCTAATGTGGAGGTCTGGCTATTACATTACCATCTACGAGAGAAGGATGGCAGCAAACCACCGGAACACAGAGACCGTCCAGTTAATGTGGAGATTATTCGGCTAGTTCACCGGGCTACGGAGCCACCGCTAGATGAATCGCTATGGAAAGAAGGGAGATCGACATTCCGGCTCATCATGTCACACCGCCACAATGAGGCAGCTCAGCAATCGGAGTTTAGAGGGCTCTCCCACATGGGTGACAGCGGATGCTTTTAATGATCCGAATGTGGTGACTGCATACCGTAAGCGGATTCAAACTCGTGAGAGTCGACGACGGCGACGGCTGGTCCAAGGTTCGAGCGGCCTTGGTTGTTGGTATGTCTGGCCGGGGCTGCGTCCTTGCTGCATGCATGAATGACGTCTGCACGAGAGGATACACACTTACACGTTATTAATAATAAAGTAAACTTACGTAGACTTTGAGACATGAATATAATACTTGCACGACATATACAGGATAGGATATTAGTTAACATTACAGTAGTCTTATTTATCATATACCATTCACATAGGTCAAGTATAACGGCTACGATACTACAACACAATCGCAGAGCAATATCCACACGTATATACATATTCATAACAAATACTACAGCGACTATACATATAGCCTTAATACAAATCCCGCGCGCGACTATTCCAAGCCGAAATTCGGGCGCATCAGAACCTACTACGGTCGTATCTCAATGTGCATGGACCAGCGGAAGGGCTGCTACGAATCCTCGACCGCATCTGGCGCTATGCCACTAACCCACAAATCTTTGGAGGGTTCTATTATGACTTAAACAGACCTTGGGTTCAGCGGCTGCCAAAGCACTCGTTCCGGCCACGTCTGACCGCCCAAAGCAATGCTCAAATGTTCAAAGATATTGCGTACCAACGACGGTCTCCGCGCCAACCCTGCATACCGGGTACCGATGACACAGGCGCTACCCTCGCTGGCTACTTTGAGGCCCTATTCAACTCTACGAACCCGTACGTGGTTCCACCGGATACCGAACCCTCTCCTGATGTCACTTCCACCATACGCCTTGACGATGTAATGGAGGCAATACTACGCTATCCCAATAAGGGACCTGGCCCCGACGAGATTCACATCCTCCTCCTGAAGGCCGCAGTGGAGCGCTCTACCGAACGCCGTACATTAGGACGCCCCGACGCCAATAGCCCACTGATTAGACTCCTTGCCGAAGCATTCACTGAGCTACTGAAGGCGGGTACCTTCCCCGCAGCCCTGAACTGTAGTCTCCTGACAGCGCACCCAAAGAAAGCCGATGCAAATATCACCTCCCCCGCCGACTTCCGCCCCATCACGCTTACGCAAATAGTCAGACGCATCTTTAAAAAGTGCTTTCTTAATCTGATTACGAGCCACCCCGGCTTTGCTACCCATGCTACCCAAGCTGGCTTCAAATCACGGTACTCCTGTCATACCCAAGCACTTGCCGCCATGGAATATGAGACACAGTCAGAAGAGGAGTGGAACGACGTCTGTCTGGACATAACCAAGGCATACGACAAGGTCGCTCTCCCACGCCTATGGGTACTTCTGCGTCACGCTGGAATGCCCGAAAACTGGATCAACTGCCCCCGCGCGCTGTTTGGGAGGGTCCCTACCCGAGTGACATACCGCGGCACGCTCTCGTCTCTATTTCATAGAACGAATGGCATCCTACAAGGCTCAATCATCGGCCCCCAGCTCTTTATTATCTACATGAATTCCTTAGCTGTCACGCTAGCACAATTTCGGCCCAAGCTCCTCCGCTCTTATTTATTTGTCGATGACACACGGATCCAAGCCCCTCGATCGGTTTCGCTCCAGCCCTTCTTAGATGACATTGATGCGTGGGGACGCAAATCTGGCCTCGAACAGGGTATCATTAAACCCCGAGTACGATCTACCGACTTGCGACACGCGGCGCCAACCCTTCGTATAAATGGTGAGCTTATTACGCCGACGCTTGCAGACGCACATTGGAGCACACGTTACCTCCCCCTGAAACTGGCGCCCACACATGCCGAACCGAAACACTCCAAATGCCTGGGGTTCCCACTCTCTCACGGAGTACCAGAAATCAACCTCGCTAGACATATGGAATCCCTGGTTGCAGCATTGGATATAGATGTAGAATAAGACAATATGTTAAATGAGCCACATATGTCATTATAAAGAGTTACAACAATTGGTGACACGAATTTTAGACACGAGTCGTAATGTATTAAACATAGTTTGAACCGGATACAAATACAAGATATAAAAAAACGACAATATATAAATTTAGGACTGTTCTTAATTGTATTTGTTGTTATTCAGATTTTTTCTTGCATTTACAAAAGGACAAAAGAATTTGGTCATACAGCCGATAATACTACCGCATTTTATACATTTCAATATAAAACAGGTACTTTAGTCTGTTTACAGTTGACTGAGTGATACTTTAGCTACGAATATTTACGACACTTGTAATAAATAGCAAATAATAATTATGACGATGCAATAACCCCACGGTCCGTGTAGATATTACCTTTATATTTTTATTTACAAAATATCACAGATTTGTGGCATAAATAGTTATTACAAAAATACCAACACTCAACTTGGTGGGGCTGTGGACAAAGTACCGTAGACGGAGATATAGAGCCGGACCAGAGGACCGGACCGACATGAAAAATCTAAGACCGGACCGGAGAACCGGACCTAGGAGATTTTATTTAGGACCGAGCCATAGGATCGGGCCTGAGAGGATTTAATTGTGATCCGAGGATCGGACTAGATAATAGAATATATTATTTAGTGAGAGAGAATGATGACTCACCGGACGTCGCCATTATTTAGTAACTAGGAAACCAGAATCTTAGATACGGAGATTTTCACAATCTGCCGTTGTTAGAGAAAATCTCGTCCCACATAGGAGCGTGATTAATAAAGAGTTCACTTATTTCAGACTTCACACTTTTTTTACGCTGTGTTACTTGGTTTTTATCACAAACCCAGTCAGAATTGCCATTGGGAATGGCGCGCCTGCTATAGTTATTAATCACAATCCTATGTGGAACGAGACTTTCTCTACCATCGGGTTATGTGGAAGTACCCGTCTCTATGGTTTCGTATGAGTTATCACTTTTATCTCTTTAAATTCTCTATTCCACTAATTGGTCCAGTCCTCTGGTCCGGTCCTCTGGTCCGGTCCTCAAATAATCCCCTAGGTCCGGTCCTCTGGTGCGGTCCTAAAATCCTCTCTCAGGTCAGGTCCTCTTGTCCGGTCCTAAACCTCCGCCTAGGGTACTTTGTCCACATCTTAAGTTCCGTGGTGCTCTCTCGTGTATGGGTGGGGCGCATTGCACTCTTAATTGCGGATAGGTTTATATATTTCCCTAGTTTCAGTTTCTCCTTGACGGGCTCGGGAAGAGAGGTCGTGGGGAAACAAAAGATAGTCCCGGTATTATCTATGTAAGATTGTGATCTTCTTGACGTTGAGCTGTTTGTTCATGGGTAGAAAACTAGTCTTCAAAGTTTGGATCTCGTATAATATGGTCACGTAGGTTAATCATGGCTTGCATACGTTCTTCACGTTCGGCGTCGCGGGCGAGGGATTTCTTCTCGAGTGCAGCCACGTATGCTTCCATCCTGGTGTCGGATTCTTCATCGACACGAGGGGTTTTCGTGATAGGTTCATCAGTCTCGGGGATATCCAAGTCATTCTGGGTTCGCTTGGTCGAGGAGTCTTGGGAAAGAAGGTCCCCTTGGGTGTCTTGTTCGTCGATGGTGAGGGGAACTTTCGGGGTTGGGCTGGGTATTCATGTGGACGTTTGAAGGCTTTGTTGTTTTGTAGACTGTTGTTCTTTGCCCTATTTGAGTACCCTTTTATATGTCGTCTTTGTCCGCCGGATGTCGGACTGTTGACCCCAGGTACGAGGCAGGAGGACTCTATCGGACTCGACTCCAAAAACTCCAGAGCTTCCCCAATTTTTAGAGTTAATATTATAAAAGATCCTACGGATTTTTTAGATGATAACAAGTGCATCCGACCAGAAAAACCAGGGGTTTCACCAGATCTGACGATAATACATAACTTCGCTGGTACGATGCCGCCAATTTGATATATGCGCCATATAAGGAAAGAAGTATGATGTGTCTCTCCCGTTCCATGATGTATTTTGTTTTTATCAAAAAAAACCCCCCTAAATACAAGTGTCTACAAGTCTACAACATGCACATAATATTGCACATGCGTTCTTATCGTAAACACTCGAAGATGAATGATTATACATACTAGGTTGAAGTAAATTATTTCCTTTATCGATTCATTTGATATAGTAGCTAAATTCAGAAGCATATATCCCCGTAGAAGAAACACGTAGTACATTCAACAGGTTCTAGGATATAGCTACATACATCTCAACATGACATTAGTCGTTCGATTTACCAGTGATGAGCCTATTGCGTATCTACTCCAAATCCCAGGACAGGGAGGTCGTAATGCCGATCCCGATATGACAGTTGATGATGTGATGGCCACTAATGCTAAACTTAGCGTGCAATTCAAAGACCCTCGCTTGGAAAATAGTATGTCGCGCAGACATCTTGTGTTTCGTAACGAAGTGCCGCTTACATTTGAATTGTATATGTGCATGTTGGTTGTATTTGTGCATGTTGTATATTGGATAGGTGCTTATTGGGATCAGTTTGTCATGCCCAGCCTTTTTTATATCTCGTGTATAGGAAACGAATGGTATACTCAGACATATTTTAGGTACTTTGGTGGTATTTTTAAGACTGCCGCAGGTAAAGGTGCTTATTCGATTGATACATTAGATCACAACAGAATCTGGTGAAATATACGAAGGCAGAATTACAATATTAACCGAGTCTACTGGGCTATACGTAGATCTGCGAGTAAGCTGCTCTGACTGTATTCCAGATCAATGTGTATTGTATGTTAATACACTTTTGTCATATATTGCGATATGGTTCTATACAAGTCGGATCTTTCTCTGAGAGCTGCCTTTATTAAGTTCAACATCTTTTATAAGTCATTCGGAATGCCGTTATTGGAATATCTGTATCTCGCAACACCGAAGTATTCACGTGACAGTGAAGAGTCTGCGATCAGTGAACGTAATACTTAGAACAGTACTTATAACCTACACTTCTGTCAGAGGCTCCACCATGAGTTAAAAGCAAAGTTAATGCACTCCAGTCAATCTTCTCCGATTTTTTATTCAGTTAGGCCACTCCAAGGAAACGCAGAGGTATGTACTATCTTAGTTTCTCAAGTTGCGATATTTCAGGTACATATTTCACTATGGTAGACCTATATTTCCATGCATTAGCCAGCTTTCTCTAGGCACAAGGCTACCGCCAGCACTCCACTCAAGATTATTTGCTTGATATGCATGCACACATCGCAGGCACCAGCCATAAGGAATCCACCTACAAGCACTACTCGGCAGTCAAGTCTATGTCACTGGACTGCGTATTATTCGATGATATTGCTGCGGCAGACCAGATGAGTAAATATCAGCCGACTACAGCCACAATCGACAAAGATGATATCTTCCATGATCCTGAGGCGAATAATCGACTTCTTGATGTAAGCATAGATGTATCGCATGAATGAACTTATCACACACACACACACATTTATATATATATATATATTACATTACATTACAATATACACACACACACACACACACACACACACACACATTTATATATATATATAAATATCTAATATAGTATAACAATATAACAATAATCATAATAATAGAAATAGGTGAATAAATACATATATAGATGAATATATATATATATACATACATACATACACACACAAACATAAACACACACACACATATATATAATAATAATAATAGTAATAATAATAGTAATAATAATAATAATAATAATAGTAATAATAATAATGATAATAGTAATATAATAAATAATAATAATAATAATATAAACAACAA